ACTGAACATATCACTCTGCTATATTTTCCCAGAGCAGTCACGATCTCAAATTATGTGATTATTTAGTACTGGTCATTTGCTTATCTCTCCTCATTGAATGTAAGTTCTGTGAAAGTAGAAACTTTGTGTTGTCATCCTCTATCCCTACAACAGAGCCTAATCACTCAGTGAATGTTTGTAGGAAGGAAAGATAGACTGTTAGGATATTATCAGCACTAAAGAGAAAAGATAGGAAGGAAACTTAAGTGTGTTTTAAGCAATAAAAGAAGCCAACCTGGGGGAAGGAAGGGAGGGAAATGCATGGGACTATGGTGGTGGCACAGGGGTGATCTGGTGATGGGAAACCCGCGGGGATTACAATTGAGATGAAAAAAAAAATGTGCAAAATGATGTAAAAATAAACTTTGTAATAAAAAAAAAAAGAAGCCAACCTGAATAGGCTACTACTGTGATTGCTATCACATGACATTCTGGAAAATGCAAAACTATGGAGACAGTAAAAATAGCAGTAGGCATCAGGAGTCAAGGAGGGTAGAGAGATGAATAAGTGAAACACAGGGGATTCTCAAGGCAACTCTGCAAGATAATATAATACATTTATTCAAGCCCATTAACGCATAAGCGTGAACTCTAATATAAGCTACAGGCTCTGGGTGATGATGTGGCCGTGTGGGTTCATCAGGTATAGCCAATGTACTACTCTGCTCCAGAATGCTGATAATGAGAGCGGCTGTAAAGAATGGGACAAGGGCTATATGGGAAATGTCCGTAGCTTCACCTTAGCTGTGAATTTAAAACTGCTCTAAAAAAACAATCAAAAGAAGAAGGTATGCTACCCAAGTTGTTAAAGTGGTTTTAATGTATGAGTAGAACATTAAAAATGATTTTTCAACTTTAGGATGGTCCTGGAAGAGCTGGGCCTCAGGAAAGCCTACACCCAAACTTTAGGCAGGGACTTCCAAATTAGAATTCCAATTTCCATGCTCATGTGAGTCAAATGGGTTTCTTCTTAAGGGACCAAGTACTAACACAGCACCTGCATGTGTACTTGGAATTACTAAAGGTGGCTATCATATACATGTTTCCTAGGCTAATATAATCCAGAACCCATTCTTTATGTCATGTCTTTATCATAATGACCCATGCTCAGGTTAATGCCAATGGTACCCTGGAAAGCAGCTTTAAATAGTCAAAATCCTTCTCAGAACTAATGCCACATAACTTAGTTGATTTATTTTGTTTGATCATTCCAACCCACTAGTATTTAAGTTCCTAAATTAGTTTTTTGTCTGTCTTAATCACTATTGTACTCCTAATGTGCAGAACAGTGTCTAGCACATAGTAAGTACTCAATAATTATTTGTTGAATGAATGAATAACCAAATTAACAACTTTTATTTTGTCTGCAAGCCCTTAGTGAAGAGGGCAGAAGTTTTAGTATGAGTCCCTAATACCAAATTCTGGCTCATATTTTTGGTCTATCTGTGTAGTCTGTATTCTTGCTTCTGTTTTGCCCAATGTATTTTTTCTGGAAGAACAAGTCGGAGGAGTTGGAAAAATGAAGCAGGAATAAGAGCCTTAGATACTGATCACACTCTGTTGGTGATAATAGTCAACATTTGAGGGGATATTTTTTTTAATATTTATTTATTTGTGCATATAGAACTAGGGTACAGGCAGAGGTGCAGGGGCAGCGAGAGGATTCACCAGAGACAAAGTGGGGAACAGAACTGTAGACTGAGGAAGTATATAGCTGAGGGGAGCTGTGGGCAAGCTAGGAGAGATCTGCTGCACCATGGATCACCTTCGGCCAAGGATTGAACTCGTACTGAAGCAGCTGAGGCTTGCAGTGCTGCAGTGCTGCACTTTAACCTGCTACACCACCAGGGAAGGCCATCATCAAAATTTGTATTGCAATTTTCTCCCAAAAGTAAATGCATTTGGTTCTCGAAATAACCTGGTGAGGCAGGTGTTATTACCTTCACTTTCAAGTAGAGAGATAGGCTTAGAGAGACTTTCCCAGTATCTATCACCCAGGTGCTCTTAGATCAACCTTGATGTAAACCCTGATCTAGTAGCCAAGTCAAAGTCCATGTTTATTCCATGGCACATGGCTGCCTCCCTAGCTGGTTATATGTACTGGGCAAGCTACTTCCCCTTTCTGGACCTTGGCTCCTATATCAGGAAAATGCCCAGACAGTGACTTAGATTCCGCCAACCTCAAATTTTTTTTTAAATTACTACACTTTAAGAAGCATTAAAATAATAATGAGATTTTATTTCTTCTTGGAATTGCACAACTATTTCAAAATCTGATTCAAGTGGCTAAAAATCAACATTCGGTGGGGGGGGGGGAATCACTTTCTTTTTAAGCAATGCCTAGAAACAGAATATCTTGAAAATGAATGACCTGATTTTGTTAAGCAGAGAACCCTCAGAAGCAACTTTATTCAATTTTTAAAATTTTCCATGAGGTTTTTCTCTATCCTTATTTCAAAACAAAATACGTGAAAGAAAATTTATCAACTTTTCTAAAAGTGAAGCCATCTAGAGCAGAAGAGAAATAAATAAATCTGAAATATTTAATAACCAACTAGCTACATAAATAAACCTCTCCAAAAAAAGAAGGCAAAGCCTTGTCTTCAACTTATTATTGACTGGGTGAATTTGCTTTGTATGCAAAAATTTGTATTATTCATCTACCCTTGTCTGTCTCAATAAGGCAATTAAACTGTTACTGAGCCACACAGCTGACAGAGCAAGTTATGTGTGTTTCTTCTCTACAGAACATTTGTTGTCTCAAACTTTTATTAGAGAATAAAAGAAAAATACCTTCACAATGTCACATGAAAAAATATTACACAGAAAAATCTATATTGCACATCCATTTTGGGTTTTATTTTGCTAGAAAGTATAATTCACACGTGCCCCCCCAAAACATGCAAGATATTTTTATACACACCTCTAACGTGCTACATTCCACTTCTGACATCTGAAAATTAAAAAAAAAAAAAGAGCAAAAGTATCTGCATTGAAAATTTAACATTATAAAAAGCTAGATTCCTAATACAAACACTGCAGTTACAAGTCATTCCATTGCAAAAGGTTAATGTATATTTATAAATGCTAAATAAATGTCAACAGTGAGGAAATAAGAACCATAAATCCAAAATGAATCCCCCAAGACAAACCTAAAAATTGTGTTTGGTGTTGTAGGACATCCATTAGAGTTAACTTAACTAACTACAACCATAACCACTACACGACACCGACTGATAAAATGGAGGGACCCATTCTCACAACTACTTCCTTTCCTTGCTACCTTTAACATGCTTTTGCTTGGTTGATTCAGTTGTGTTTTGGTTAAAAAAGTAACAAAAAACAGGTCCTCGGAGCATATAATAGCTTGAGGTGTACAAAAACCAGTTCAATAAATTATTATGATGAAGTTTTCCTTTGAGATATTTCACTTTTCATTTTAATTATCATATACTCTTCAATAATTATATGTGTGTGTGTGTGTGCCCATGCACACGTGTGTAAACCCTTCAAAAAGACATTTTGGAAACTTAACTCTAGGGAACTTTTTCCCCTTTCCTTGAACCCAGTCCCCAATAATTTAGTAGATTTTTTAGAAACCTGCCTAGAGCTTTTCTGTACAGTAAGCAACATCCTTGTTCCTGTGTATTTGAACTTTTCAAAAAACAGCAGAATGCTCCAAAGTGCTTGTTTGCAACTCCTGAAAAATCTCCAGGCTCTTGCAGCAGATTTCACTCTGCCTGGTGCTTTATCTTCACTTTCTCACTGCACCAAAGGTAAAAGAAGGGTCCCTGGTAGGAGCACATTTATGTCCCTCCTGGTGCTCCCTGGAGGAGGCTGGCTTTGCCTCCATAAAAAAAAAAAAAAAAAAAAAAAACAGGGACACAGCTACTTTCTTCTCCCTTGGGGACAAGGGACAGGCTTAGGTAGAATGGCAGTTCCCTGGCAACCTCAGAAGAGAAAATATCCTAATGCATTCCCACAAAACGTTTCAAACGTGCAAAGAGAAAACCTAAAACGGGTGAGGCGAGAGGAGCTGTGAGTTGGAGGCGTGCATAGGCACTGAACTCAGGGGAGGACGTCCACTCAGACTACCTGCTTCACTGTTGCTTTCAGTGAGCATAATGGCAGCACTTTCCCAAAGGGAAAGGGACTACCATTTGCAACCTCTAAACTAATTTTCTCTATTACCCAGCTTTAAATGCTTACTTAACTCAAACTACCATTCGTATCTTAAAGAAGTTTGAAAACCCAAGTCAGTTTCAATACATACTTAAGTACTTGCTAGATCAATTCAGCTCACAAGTTTTCAACATGTTGGCCAAAATGGCAAATAAGTGTGTATCTTTTCCTCCTGCAGACGACTGTAACTGGCATGTGTTCAGGGTTTAAAGAAATCTGTGAAGGATGGGCTTGCTCTGCAGTGAGAGGTCCTGCCAGGCCATGCACTTAGACTGAGGTTGGCGGAAAGCACAGCTCCTCTTCTCCACCTGGAGCTCTGGGCATGCTTTCAGACTATTCTGCCATCCTTTTGCAGATGCTGTCTCTCTTCTTTTCCACAGGACACTAGGTCTGCTAGGGGGAGGGTGCTGAGGGAGACTTCACAAGTGAGCAGTCATGTAATTGGAGTAAAATTCATGCCCAAGACTAGACATTCATGCTACTGAACCACCCAAAGCAAGACAAAGGCCACCACAACCCAGAGTGATTAAAAATCTCATCTCTCACACAGCAAAGCAAAACTGAAAAGAAAAAAAAAATCCCATTACAATTCAAAAGGGAGCTAAGCTTTCTGGGGTTATTGGCTGTTCCAGACTGAAAGAGGGTAGGTGGGAGCCCATCTCTTGTCAGCTGTCTGCAGAGAGAACCGGAGCCCCTCACAAAGCCCTATCAGCTGCCCAGTGGCTCCCAGAAGTCATCACTGGGGATGTCTGGGCTCCCTTTAGAATGTTCAAGTCTGTTCAAGGTCTGAAGTCTGATGTGCAGAGGTAGCTCCATGACGCTAGTAATGGAATAACACTTCCTTTTTTGGTGAGGAAAGTCCAATTGGTCTTAGCTAACAAGCTCTCAGCTATGGCTCTAAAAATACCCTGCAGTGAGTACTGTTTGGCACTTTGCTTTGCTTGCCAAGGAGCACGAAGAACTCACAGAATGCCTCCCATTCTCCACAGCTGCTCTGAGCTCTGACCCTGCTCTGGTGACCTCAGGGGAGGGGATCACTTTGGGAAAGTTACCTATTGTTTTTTCACTTCTGAGTTCTTGGAATTCTGCCCTAAATGTGTGAAGTACAATTCCAGCCCTGGATGAATGACTAATTTGGATAAGAACCTTCATTGGGCTTCTGGTCTGAACTAAACAGAAGAGAGGACTAAAATTATACTTCAAAAGGACTCTTGCATCCTTCCTTTCCCCTTACCCCCCAAAAGAAACATCAGTCCCCTTGAATCCTTTGTTGACAGCAGCAGGAGGGGTCGTGGTCTGACTGCAGCAGATCCCAGCGCTGCCTACACATTGATGGCGTGCGCGTGCTTCTTGCAGAGGGGTCTATCCTTCTTGGAGTAGAATGGCTGCCCCTCCAGATTCACATGGCAGACCTGGGACAGAGAGCAGACAGTGTGAGACAGGGCTTTGCCATCTTTAAGACAAGGGGAGGGACATGAGCCAAAGCTTTTAGTCACTCCTGCAGACAAAGCATTGTCGCATGCAGATGGGAGGAAAGGAAGAAACTTTTCTCCCCAGTACCAGTTCTCAGTGACTAAAGCAGTGTGACTGGATTGAACTCTGTAATATTTAAGATTTCCAGAGAGGAGCATGGTCTAAAACTCAGGATAACTTAATTGAACAGAACAGAGAAAATATACACAATGAAGATGCCTAATGGATGCTATCCAAGGTATATAAATTCACATGTCGGTATTCACTGAGAAGGCTAAAATGTAAAACATACCATCAGTAAACTAAGAAACATGCCTGAAAAATGATTCTTGCTAACAGCGTAAGGAGAAATAAAACCTCTGGTGGGATTTTTTATTTATGAAATAAAACCAGAGAGGAACACCTATTAATCTAGCAAAATAAATAAAATGGAAAACACTCAGGGTTTTTTTTGTTTGTTTGTTTTGTTTTTACCTTTTCCCTATAGTCAAAAAGTTATTTAAGAAGTCAGAAGCTAACAGTGTGCACTACTGGGTCATGTGCAGCAGCTCAGTCTTCTGGAAGGGGCATGGCAACAAGTAGGGAAACCATAAAGAGGTGCCTGTCTGAGCCCCTGCACGCCATGCTGGAGAATTTTATCTTACAGAAACTATTGCACAGAATAAGAAAGCAACACACATGCAACTAAAAACTGAAAACCACTTTGGGAAGATGATTAAGTAAAATGCCTCCGTAAAAAAAAGAGAAATCAAACAAAAACTGCATTCAGGAAAATATTACATTTTTTAAGTCAAAATCATATACCTCCAGGGTGACAACATATGGGTACAGTTTGAGGACAGAGACACCAATGAAAGTGGTGAGCCAGAGACTAACTACATGGGAGGCAACTGTGAGTGGTCAAGCGAGGCTCCAGGCATTGTATATACATGGTCTCATCAGCGATCATTTCTCAAAAAACCCTCATGGAATGAGTATGACTTTTCCATGTTTTGCAGAACCCAGGTGTTTTGCTTAATTCACATATCTAGTAAGTTACAGAGGGGAGGATCTATGTCCAGGGGTGCAAGACTCCAGGTCCCAGCTAATTTTACCCATGTGTTTACCTAGGCCTACACACTTATACAGGTGGTCCTCGGAGTTTGGGGCTGTCGATATGTAGGCTGGCTCTAGGCGAGCAATGTGACAATGTGTCAGTTAGCTGGGTGGTCACACTAACTGGGGTGAGCTCCACCTCAGAGAGGACACCAAGGACTCCTAATGGGGAGCAGATTTGGGCCACATACAGGATATTGGCATCAGAGGTATATCAGACGGTCCTTTTCTAAAGGACAGAATCTTCCTGGTTGCTTTAGACAGATCTTTTGGGCTGTGCTCAGACTGGAACGTGTTTATAATATCAGCCTCAACAACAGTGAACTTTCCTGCTTCTTTTAGTCCTTCTGGTCCTTTTGTTGTTGCTACTCTCAGCCAAACATTGCTGGCGTGAAGGAGACCCAGGCTGACCTTTGCTTTCATTCCCTTTCCATGTGACACAGACTTCTCATTAGCCTGCCCTCAGAGAACAGGCCTTCTGTCTCTCCTGGACCTTCTCCAAGTCTCTTGGATTCTTCTAGAAGTTGGGTAACCAGACTTGCAGGCAGCATCAGACAAGGATCAGACAAGCCATGGCTTGAATATAAGGGTCAAAGAGCCCTGGGCAGTGCCTTGCTGAGCATTGACTCTGCAGGGGACAACCCCAGCCAGTATATTCATATTGTCATCCCTTTTTTGAAGAGGAGTTTCTCATGTATCTAGAGGACTCTAAAAGACAACTAGAAAATCTGCTTAAAGAGCTAGAAAATCAGTGTTATGGACTACTGTCTCCTCCCAAAATTCATACGTTGAAATCTTAAGCCCTAGTCCCTCTAGCCAACTCAAAACAGGAACAAAGCAACAACCATATTTGGGAATAGGATCTTTCCAGATGTAATTAAGATGTAAATTAAGATGAGGTCATGCTTGAGTATGGTGGGCGTTTAATCCAATATGGACCAATGTCCTTTTAAGAAGAGAAGCACACAGACACGCACACACACAGAGACACACACACACGAAAGACACGTACACAGAGAGACACACACACAGTAGAATGCCATGAGGAAGGCAGACATACAGGGACGATGGCCATGTGAGGACGGAGGCAGAGGCTGGAGTTGGGCAGCTGTGAACTAAACAACACCAGAACTTGCTGGCAACTACCAGAAGCTAGGGGAGAGTGTATGACCCTGCTGGCCCCTTAAATTTCTAGCCTCTAGAAGGGGGACAGAGTACATTTCTGCTGTTTAAGCTTAGCCCTATCTGTGATGCTTTGTCACATCAGCCCAAGCACACTCATCAATCCAGTGTACCCCACAAATGGTGGTATACAGAAGTGAAGTATAAAACCTGAAATGCACTGCAGTAAACTTTATGACTAAGGTTATTCTATGTCGTAAGTCTACAAATTATTCAAATTTAAACCACATGGATATTTCACACATTCCCCACATTTACCTTTGAGCACTTCTGGTTAAAAAAAAAAAAAAAGGCTAGAATAGCACATTGATTTACCAAAATACATTTTAGCCAATTATAGATTTACCAGGAAAGACAGACCATTCCTGACTCTAACACAGAGTATAAATGTCAGCAGCCTCATTGCAAAAGAAAATGCCAGTCTCATGGTAAAAATGATTTGTCTGTTCAGCAGAAATAAATTGTACATGGTTAATAGTTAACATGGGGCTTATCTTCTACAACTATATATGAAGAATAGGACCATTTGGAAAAATAAAATGATACTCTGTCCTTTCTAAAGGTTCTGTCAAAAGAAACCTTATCTGAGCTTTCCATAGGGTCAGTTAATGAGCTTCCATTTAGTGTCAATGGTGAAAATTTGAGGGAAAGCCCTAGAACCACAGAAGCCTCCCTCCCTACCCCCTCTTTTAAATCCAAGTATCCTTCACTGTTACTATCATAGAGAACATCTCTGGTGAAGCAAGCTGCAGGTCTGTCAGCCTTCTCTCTTGTTCTTAATGAAATGAAGAATAACAAAAAGACACATTGCTTTATGAATTGTTATTAGCAATAAAGGTTCACTCAATTGTGACACATCAAAGCATCATGGTATTGACCAGCTTTTAAAAACCATCAGAATATCAGGATTGAAAGGAATACAGAGGAGGATAATTTGGCTCATACTTGGTCCCTCCTGTCCCCTCTCAGGAAATCAGAACCCCAGATAAAAACATACTGCACAAATGAAGCAGGTGTCATGCCAGGTGTGCCCCAGGGCTTCAATAAACTTGTCACCAGCCTCCACAGGGAAGTCACATCCATGACACTTGGTGCTGAACAGGTTGATGTAGTCTGAAATGAAAGCAGAGTGAAGACAAAGCATCCAGGCAATCAGGGGAGGATGACGAGACCCAACACCAGAACAGCCCTCAAATCAGGAGCAGTGATTCACCTAATTGGTTACTTTCATTTTGTCACAAAATACTGTTACATGACTGTTTATTCTTTGTTTTTCCAATAATTTGCACTGTGTGGTGTGCAGATTCACCACCATGTGTTTATTTATTTGCAAATATTTTCTGGAACTCTCAGCAAGCTGGTTTTTTCCTTTGTTTCTGTCACCTCTTCTAGCCCAAACAGACCAATCCCCCCAAAAGAATTGTCTTCTCAACAGCTATACTGATATTTGGACTAATTATGGCCCTTTACATTTTAAAAAGTTATAGAATGTTCTTTGCCTCACTATCCCTCTGTCATCGGGCATTTATGTTACTAACAAATTTTCACTACCAGGAAGTGTTTGAATTACTTTATTGAACGATGTCCCCCTGCACAAAGATAGTCCAACCAAGGAGATAATAAAAACTGTGTATAATACTTTACAGCTTACCAAGCATTCTCACATAAATGGTATTCACTGGTACCTCAACATCAAGTTCTATGTCTCCTGTTTTCTTTGCACAGCTCCTAGCATACACGTGTTGAATGAATAAGTGAGTAGATCAATCAATGAATCAATAAATCAATCAGCCTATCTTCACAGATTCCCTCAGAAATTGAATATTGTTTTTCTGTTTGTTTTGTTGATAAGGAAACTGAAGCAGAGAGGCAAAGGGTCTAGCTAGGATCACACCCTGGATCCCTTGTTTCATTGTACCCATCAAACAACTCTTACAGATTCTCCTAGAAGAGTTTGAAGCCTGTTACCCAGCCTTCATTTCCTCAGAAGTGTGCTTGTCTCACACAGCTCTGCAACAGCTGGCTTTTTCTTAGAGGCATTTTCTGCTTATATTGACTTGTGGGCAGTATTTCTGCTTACCCATGCTGAGGGGGAGTGTGCTGTGGTCATTGCAAACTGAAACTCGGAAGGGAGAAATAATTGGGTTTAAGTCCCAGCTCTGTGAGAACTTTGTTATTTTATTTTTTTCTATGGGATGTCTGAACTTTATTTACTTTTAGGAGGAGGACTGATAT